CGGAAGAGCTGCCGGGCTGCACGGGCGGCTTTCAGACACGAGTGCTGCCGTTTATTCACCTGTGTACCCCGGCCACCTCCGCACGCTGCAGGCACTCAGCTCAGCAACCTGCACTAACAGGATCACTTACTCGCTTGCACTGGCCAAAAACGACTCACAGACACTGAACTGGTCCAACGACGAGAGCTCAAGTCCTGCCATCTCAGAGGTGACACCAGCAGGCAGGCCATGAAGAACAGATGATGTGAATGGACTTGACCATCCGTCATTCTCCAAAGCCACATGGGGAGAAAGATGCAAAACTAACTAAAAAAATATCTTTCACTTATATGCTATTGGTCCCACTAAAAATATTATATGTAGAAATATTTAATATCAAGTAAAATAAGCTTAACAGAAATATATTCTCTCACTATGTAGTGTGTGGTTTAGGCAAACAACAGATGTTTTGCCAAATATAGTGAAACACTTAACTTCAATATCTTCTTCAAACCGCTTAAGGACGACCGAAAAAGCTTTAAGCTGAAAAGCTGAGTTTAGCTTTTGCCTCTTGGATAATTACTTTTGTTTGCTCTTCAATAGCACTTTCATGTAAAAGGTTAGTAAAACGGCATTATAGCTGCAGAAATTCACTTCTTTAAAGTGCCTGCCAAGTATTTAATTTTGTCCAGGCTAAAATGAAAATGAGAACAGTGCTTAGAAGCACTGGTTAAAAAAAATACGTGCAGTTCAAACTTCATGCTATGCTAAATCCCTCTATCAGAAATGCTTTCATGGAAATGGAGATGAAAGGGCTCTAATAGCACATGGTAGACAAACAGGAAAATATTCGGGAGAGAAAGAATGAACAGACATATGTGCGTGTCTGTGTGAGCAACTGCATGTGTGACTCCATTATTTTAACTCTGTAATGCTGACACTGAGCAGCAGATTTATAAGGAATGCTCTGAAGGCAACTAAAATTTTGCATATATTCTCATTGTATTTTCTATGAACATAATAGAGCGGTCTTGGTATATCAGATTTCTTAGGGAAATGTTATAATTAGACATATTCCTTAGAAAAGGGAGTTTCTTCATAACAGGAACAAGTGTAGTATATTCAGCTCTGTTATTTTACAAAACATAGAGTGTTTTTAGGAAACAAAACAAAAACATGGCTTGGCATGTTTAGTGAAATTCAACTCAGCAGCATGAGCCTGAAAGTCAAAAATGAACCTGAAAAGGCAAAACCTGCTGGGGATTCAGAGAGTGCCCAGGCTTGCTGCAGAAAATTAATTTCTACCCAGTTACCTATGTATCAACATGCTCTTTTTCTCTTCCAAAATGGACATAAGAAGCAAAATATAGTAATGGGCATGTTAGATCCTATTTAAGGCAGAATATAAGCATGCAAAAATAACTTCATATGTTCCAATAGAAATCTAGAGAGGCAGTCTACAGACTTCCAGCAAGAGATAGAAAAATACAGCATTTCATACATTCATACAGGTGCAATTAAGGATACAGCAATGGTGTAGAAAATGCATTAGGATTTTTTAGTTTTAACAACAGGAGTTACTGAAATGTAGAAAAATAAACTAATTTTATCATCATTTGTGGTTAGATGTTTTTGCATCATTAAAGAGAGTAACATGGCTTTGATAAATAACAATATCCCATAACATTGCATTCAAAATCCAAAGTGGATAAATAACTTTCTAAAAAACAAACAAAAAACTTATTTTACATGTATACCCTACATCTCATATAAGCTGTACCTCTTTACAAAGTACCAGCAGCTGAAAGCAAGTCCTGACCTGCAGACAACCTGCAGGAGGTGCTGGGCTCTAGGAGGAAGGGGCTTCAAATCCAATGTCCTCTGAGCCCCCCTCATCCCAAAGTGCTCTGGAATCACAGTTCTTCTACAAAGAGCCAGCAGCCTATACATGTCAAAGTATGGCATAAGCTCCGTTCTAGAAAGCAGTACCTGGTAGCCTTTCCTCTCATGTAAAAGTCACCATGAGGAATCCTTAGGCTGCTCGACTCGGACAGGCCCTGGAGCAGCTCGTGGCACAGGAACGCACAGGATCAGATCATGCAGGATGGGAAGAGAGTTGCTGGAGGAGATGACTCTTTCAGTCCAATAGAAGGTACCACCTCTACCTCTAAACCTTACCTCTCTGGCTGCCCTGAGCACAGCTTCAATGTTAGTATGGTCAGCGTGGAAAAAAAAAACAGCATTTTTGCTTACTGGAATCTAACCCACGAGGAGTGGGGATCTGTTCTACTCGTATTAGCCAAGAGGCCTTGGTCCTTCCTACTGCCTCAGAAACCTGCCTTGGAGCTGCGGGGAAGAGACTGAACACGAGTCATGGTCATTCTGCACAGAATGCTGAGATTCAGGACCTAACAGCTGTGATTCAGGATCTAACAGCTCCCAGGAGCCGGATCTGGGCAACTCCAACCGCACAAAAGCTTTTACAGGGCAAATGGCTAAGCCCCAAGAATAGAAAAAAAGACAAAAAACCCCAAAGCCTTTAATATCTAAAATCAAATAAAATCACAGTATCTCTGGTTTACTGGGGTGCAACTCACCCTTCAGAAACAGCCAAGAGAGGATCTGTACATCATTGACCTCAGACCCTTAAACCCAGCAAGAGAGCAACTAGTGCCTCTGTTGGCACTAGGAGGACCTAGACCTTGTGGTTGGATGTGGAATAGACTGAATTGCACTTTTTTTTTTTTTTTTTCTGTGGAGGAAGGCATCTTGACTTCATTATGAAAAGTCCTCTTTTTTTTTTCTTTCAAATAACCTAAAATTATATTTCCTTCCACCATATTTTTGAAAAGTTCTGACATCAATTCAACTTTTCATAAAACGGGCAGACAAGATTGAGAGCTGAGGGCTTGATTCAGACAGCAGAAGGAATGATGGAAGGAAGAAACAAGAATGAGAAAAGAGAGGCATGCTGCTTTGCAAAAATAAAACCATATAAAATCCACTGAAATTTGCCCCACACATAGGTCAGCCATTCATCCAGGATTCCTTTTTAGCAAACAGACCCTACAGTCAGGAATAAAATGGTTTGTGGCACCTGATTAGAAGCCAACTGTCAAGTCTGTAACATTCAATTCTGCAGAGATGCTCTCTGTTACATTAACCAGGACTGTGGATGCAGGATAAATGATCTCTTCAACAGTCACATATGTCCCTGTTAAAAATCCAACAACTCCAATGATAGCTATAAAAATATCCTTAAGTACCATCCACAGACTTAAGTTTTCCTTGTAGAACGTGAGGATTTCAACGAGAGGAGGCAGAATCAACGCCAGGGTGCTGCTGCTGACAGCTCCAACGAAAGAAATCACGAGATCCAGGCGAGGGATCAAAATCGCTACAGCACCTAAAAGGCAAGAAAAGAGATATGAGATCCTCCAAAATGGACACAAAACCTCCTGGCCACCTGGCATTCTCACAATCCTTTCAGCAACTTGTATCTACAAACCTGTCTCTTGAATAATCTTGGTCTCTACAGTTGCTTTCATCTTACAAAATGTCTCTTTAGTAGCTGACCAATTAACTAAATAAGAGCTTTGTTCTGGCAACAGGTGACTGTAAAAAGAGGGTCCCTGAAACCACACCAGTCTGTAGAAAGAATTCATCCTTACGAGAGGACCAGAATCTCTTATGATTTTAACCTCTTTTGCTGGCAACTGTAGGCAAGATACCCTCACATTAATTTGGATATATCAGTTTGTCATGTAATCCTTCCAATCCTGTATTGAAAGACAGTTTTCAGAGGCCAGCTGAGCACAGACTCAAATATGACTCTGTGTTTAGGTGCAAATGTCTTCTAGCTAGCAGACATTTTCTATTACTTCTGAACAAGACAAATAAATAACGTGGGAGAAAAGGCATGGGGAAATCCGGGGTAAAAACATGAGCACAGCAGAAACACTGTGTAATACATTTTGGTTCTTCCATATCTTCCTTCTAAACTCATAAACCATTATAAACTCTTAACATACAAGAAAAGCTTGTTTGGCTTTGGAGCAACTAAACAAACTAGCTAAACCAAATATTATAGAAATAATTTTTACAGCAACAACAACAAATATGAATCAACTGCGATGGACATCCTCATATAGCACGTGAGGATGAAGGCTAAAAAGTCCTTTTTTGCTTTAGAATTTCTCAAGCTGAACCTGCCATTTGCAGAGTGTCTTTGGTGTGGGCTGATGGACACCAAGGGCCTTGAATTCTGCAGACAGCTGGTTGTGAAGGGCAACACACTCAATATGCACAAGTTCATGTTCATTATTGAGAGGATCTACCCCGAAGAGTTTTGCATTGGCAAAATATGCTCACGACAGCACAGGCACAGGTTAGCAAGTGCACGTGCTGCAGCACAGAGGGGTCTGTTTGAACACCAGGGTGGCAGTCACACGAGGCCACCATGCAAGTCCTGCATTGGCAAAATATGCTCACGACAGCACAGGCACAGGTTAGCAAGTGCACGTGCTGCAGCACAGAGGGGTCTGTTTGAACACCAGTCACACGAGGCCACCATGCAAGTCCTGCTGGGAGCTTGCCCTTTGCCAGCCCACATCTCTGTGCACTTCCACTTCTGGGATGTCTGCAGGGAGAGTTCAGCCCTGTCGACTCTTGGGTAAAGACAAAATCCACGTGTAGAACATATACCTATCTCCTGGTACTACTGCACTTTTTAATAAAATGTACAGGCATATCATATCGAAAGGGAGGTATCAACTCACAGGACCAAAGGTGTGAACTCACAGAGATATAAAGGATAAAGATTTCCCCAACCCCTCTTGTTTGAAAGAATCAAACCATCTGCTAAGTAAAATCTATTAACTGCTTGTTATGACCATAGGTTATTAAATATCTTGTGAATTCTCCAGAGATATAAGAGACACCGCATGGCCAAAAGAGGCTTCGACAGAAGCTGTCATTCACAAAAGCTCAGGAGCACCAAGACACTGAACAGTAGATCAGCCAAGTGCTTTATTCCACTGTTAAGACTAACTACTCCGAAAGTCAAACCTCATAAATTGTTTCTTCCATTACATGGATGTGACATTTAAAGACTGGAAATGTCACATGTCTATACATTATCAAGGGCAAAGCTAAAATGGATGAGAGAGGAGTTATGCCAAGATTAATAAAAGTCGTAAAGAACCCACCTCTGTAATTTTAGTGGTCATTACTCCCACTGAAGCCAAAAAAGCAGACACCACAAGCACCCGAGAAGGGCACTCAGCCCAGGATGACTGGCAATCATGCTTGAGACTCACACAGGATTGCACTATGTGTAAGCAACTGAAAACTGGAGTTGAAACATATTTGCAATGACTGGTAAAGCGCTCAGCTAATGAATATGTTGAAAATTCTGAAGCAGAAGAGAGAGCTGCACATTTATTATCTTGCTAATTTAACAGATGCAGTGGGTGTATGCATTAAATACAGATTTTTAACTTCTGCAATAGACCTCTTCCAATTCTACAAGCATGTCCACAATTAGACAGATACTCATTAATTTTACAGTTCATAGTTTTGTTTGAAATGTTCTGCTTGATTACAAATAATGAGAGCATTTTTCATACTTTTAAGTTGAAAGAAAAATAAAACTACACAGTTCATAAACGCTCCAGTTTACAGAAAAGCAAAGTACTGTGCATTGGTTTGGATTTTGTCAAATGTTTGCCTGGTTCATATGAATTCTTATGAATTTGAATATTGCTGTGGGAGGGGGTTTGAAAAAGCATCTGAAGTTTTATTTAGTGCCTATTTTAGTCTGTACTAATCCAACAGAACTATGATTCACACTTCTTCTCTACCAAAGAATGTCTTCAAGGGTTAAGAATGGGGCCAGCTTTCCAAGGGAGGCAAACAGGGGGCATTTCTGCAGGCAGAAAGCCTAATTTTCCTTGGCCTACTTACATTTAAAAGTGTGAAGTCAAGGTGAAATTCTGAACCTTGATCAAGAATCACAAAACTTTCTGTTTGGGAAGCTCTGGGAATCGTAACTGAGGAAATGAAGTCCTGTAATATTAATATGAGACTTACTTTTTCGGTAACAGTTAAATTGTCTGCAGGCTCCAATAAAAGAGCAAGAACCATATGAACAAGACATCTCACAGAGATAACAAGAGACTGAAACATACTGCTTCTATGGGAAGATGTGCTGTCTAACCTCAAAGCCCAGCAAAACAGGATTCTACAGTCGAGCTCAACTATGTGGTAACACATTTGTGAGAGAGGTTTTTTTTGAGGGGGAAATAGGATCACAGGATGCTTTTGTTTTCTTAATCACAGAATCACAGTGTGGTTGAGGTTGGAAGGGACCTCTAGAGACCATCTAGTCCAATCCCCCTGCTCCAGCAGGGACACCCAGAGCACGGGGCACAGGGTGGCATCCAGGTGGGTTTGGAAGATCTCCAGAGAAGGAGACTCCACAACCTCTCTGGGCAGCCTGTTCCAGGGCTCTGTCACCCTCACAGGAAAGAAGTTATTCCTCACATGGAGGTGGAACTTCCTGTGTTTCAGCTTGTACCCATTACCCCTTGTCCTGTCACTGGCCGCTATGGAGAAGAGTTTGGCCCCATCCTCCCTACATTCACCCCACAGGTACTTGCACACAGTACAAGTATATAAGGTCCATAGCATCCTGGGGGAAGAATTACCTTAAGAATACCCTTAATTTTATTCTGTTTACCCTTAAAAATTAAGAATACCCTGAATTTTATTCTGTTATTTCTGTAGAGCTTCACGTTCCGCGATTTTCTCTCCTGATTACAGAATCACCAAGTGGTTAGTCAAATTTGCTTGCTCAAGCAAATTTTAGAGAGATCACTGGGAGCAAAAGCAGTTTCTCCACGTCTTTACTATTAGCCAAGCAAGGTGAATTAGAATCGCAGATGAAGTGAAATATGATTAGCATGTTCCAGTACTTTCCACAGTAATCAAATGTTGGACTACATTATTTCTATCAGAAAGTATTTTAAAGGCCATGCTACATCTCACATAATGAGCAAAATGAGCACTACAGTAATTAGGTTCTATGTATCTACATAAACACTGAGTTATGGTTTTGGTCCTGTCCATCCTGTCCACACACAGACCAAAAGAAAAACATCTTATGACTTCATCGAAGGATTGTAATGACACAGTTCACTTAAAAAGTCTTTTTTTTCCCTAATAGGACTGAATTTATTTATAAGCATCTTGTAGGAAGGCAGGAAGCAATCTGAAGCTTAAAAGGCTATTAATGCTGATAGTAACTACTAATTTTTCCTTTAGCCCAAATAATGAAGCTAAGTTTAATATTTCTTTCATTAAAAAAGTAATAAGTACTAATTCAAACAAGTAATCCATATCAGATCAAAACTATGACCTGAACAAATTGTCCTAACAATAGAGTTTTTAAATATATGTGGTCAAAGCCACTGGAGCCTTCTTACGTATGTCAGGGAAGAGCTGGAAGGAGGAATGTCAGATATTACAAGGGGGCAATAACTGCACACAGCTAGGGAGCAACACGGTTGTCTCAAGTGAAACACAACCAGTGACCCTCAAAGGAGCAGTCAGTGCTGAAGAGATCAGAGCCATGTCTGATTAAATGAAAGGGAACTCCTGTCCCCAGATGCCACCTACTGATGTTGCTGCAAGACACTACAGCTTGGTTCAGGTGCAAAAGAACCATTGCAGACACTGTCGCTGCCACAGGGGCAGTACCCCGATTTCTACAGGGACTTATCCTGGGTCCAGCCTGCACTATTCCAGGACATCCGGAGGACAGCATTCCTCTCCATTTAGTTAATGAGAATGATGATGCTGTGTCCTCCTAGAAAGATATTTTCCAACCCATGGTACATACCGAAGCTCCTATAAGCTCTGCTTTATCTTATCCATTTCCATCTCATCAGCCTAATTATGTTCATGATCTCTCCCATTTAACATTATCATCAGTCACAAAGAGAGCATCTTGCTGCTTCATGGTGTATGCAATTTTCCTGTATATGCTAACAGCTAAGACAACTGGACTCACTCTACACCAGCAAGTAAATTAACTTGCTCAGATAAATATCGTACAGAGGTTGGATAAATCTATAGATCGCGCCCCTGACATGTTATCCGAGTACTTTAATGAAATTTCTTTTAGTAGTTTATAAACCTCTTCCTGTTACATTGTACCCATTATCTAAGGGAAAAATCACCTGCTGATAAAAAGCCATCAGTGATGCACTAAAGTATGTCAAAGATGGCACTCAAGCCTTTCGAATCAGATGTCTAGAAGTTACACGCTGTTGTGGTCACCAGTCCTCCCAGGGTCTCCTTAATAGAAGGAACTACACGATGATGAGCAACTCACTTGACTTACGT